GCAAAGTCTGTCTGTTCCGAGCAGATCACTGAACTACTACCAGTTGGTTCTATTCGTTAATGCGCGTTCTTCATTCTTCGCCTTAACAAATATCAGTTGCACGCGAGACATCGACCATTCAAGTCGGAATTGGGAAAATCTCTCTTTTTTGTTGGGATATCCCCATGTGTGATTGATAAAATAATATATAAAATATTGTAATTAAGTTTGGTTTTGTGTGGTGTCGTAGTGACAAGGATAAAGGATATATTTTGCTTGGTAAATAGTTTAGTGATAGAAAGTTGTTGCAAGTGACGCAAAAGTGAAATTTGTAGAGGCCACATGAAATAATTTAATGAACACGTGAAAACATCTGTACTTTTTCGTGTGTTTATGATTTAACGATCATATAGCTAATTTTATAATTACATACATTTATCAAAATTTCTTGTATTCATAAACTATTGGCAGACTTTTCCATAAAAATTAATTCTCAATTGTATTTTAAACGCTAATAATTTCCTTAATATTTTCATTCAATTTGGTTTGATAATTAGGCAGGTTTTATATTTGTTTTTTTATATTTTTCATCAGTTTTAATAATAAATGGTAGTCTGCCCGAAGGCAGGTCCATGGTGTAAGAGCCACCACAAACAAATGATTACCTTACCCTTCATCCCATTACCACTATTCCCTCACCCCATTTTTTTATTTCATGTATTTTCCTTTTCAAATTTCTGCTTCCATACTTCTTGATCATGTCCTTTGGCTTTCAGTTCCCTGTATTTTTTTTCTCGCGTAAGTCGTCAATCGTCTGCATTCTTCTTCTTCCCATTCCTTTTGTTCCTTCTATTTTACCCTTGACGAAGTCGTGCAGGAGGCACTTTTTTGCAAAAGAGTGTCTCCTGCACGACATTTTTTTAATATTTTTCATCACTTTTATATTTAATTTCTTGTTTTACACAGAAAGTCATAGCACACTTAGTTTTATTGGAGCTAAATTGTTCCAAGTAGTAATCTTATTATTACCTACAAATTACTCTTCATACTTCAGTGATATTATAAGATTGATATATACTTACTTACTTACTTATTTTATTGTTTAGGAAAAATATTAATTGTATGCATAAGTCTATAAATTCATTTATATAATTTCCAATGAATATATTAATTGGTAATTGTTTAAATACAAACTTTCCGTTCACATTTGCATGGTAGATTTCTGTCCATAGTTGGTGAATCCCTGGTTGGTGAAACTAACATTAAGTTAATTTTTTTCAAGTGTTTAAATATTTTGTTCAAAAGCTGCAAAATAGATGTTGATACAATCTTTGATTAATTGATTTGTAATCAAAATGCTCTTAAGTTTACAAACATGAGTTTTAATTACAATGCTAGGATGATAGAGAATAATGTTTTAAAAATTTTAAGGATTTAGATAACATTTGGGATATACCAAAATGTGAAATCGAGTAAAAGTACATTTTAGGCTTTGTATCTCTAAAAACCATCCTGAAAACAGTGGAGTTAAATTTTACTACTGTTTTTATTTAACATGCAATATATCAAGCAGGCAATTTCGCTAAAATTATTAAATTTCAGTAATGCTTAAAATTTTATTTGTTTTACAATGAGACATCAACACCTATCGATTTACATGCACCATAAATAATTAATTATAGGTATACACTTCTTTATGAAAAGATTTTGACATTCAAAACCATATTATTATAATGAAGTATCTTCTGAATATTATATCTATTACAAATATGTACATGGTTACAGTGTATATATTTCTTACATATTATTAGTCACATGTTCACTTCTCCTTGTCAATGTACAAATAATACTTGTATTGCATTTGCAATTAGAAAGTTTTTTAACCAAAGATGACTTTGAACCTTTTGCAGTCTATATTTAACAACGAAATATGTAAATAAAAATATTAAATTCATCTATATTGTTTCTTCAGTTGAAAAAATTAATAAAGTTTGCGTTAAAGATTGATTAGTGCTATAAAATTTATGATAGATTAGTGGAAAAACCATCGATTTTATTGGAGATTTTTATATGATTTTATTAGACAGATTTTTTTGAAATTGTTTAAACGTCGATACATATTTATTTTATTAGATATACATATTATAGTTTTTTGTTCCGTTAATTTTGTTATTTTTATATAGATGTTTATTTAATTCTATTTCATTTAGTTTACTATATTATTGATCAAACAAAGCATTTTTAATTGATTATAATATATAAAAAAATATGGTTTTCATGTAGATGAATAAACATTTAAAGCTTTAATACTCATACTAATTGTAAGTAAATAGTAAAATATCTTAGCATAAAATTTCTAACTAAAAAACACATGCAACATGCGACCCTAAATTTTCACCTTCCTACTGCAAACTCCTATTTCGTAATAGTCAATAGAACAATATTTCATCCCTTTTTTAGTCAATAAATATTTTTTACCGGATTTAGATTAAGATTTTCTTCAACTTCTAGAAAATTTTCATTGAACTTCAGAAGAAGTTATTTTTAATTAAGGAAGATATCATATATAAATATATATATATATATATATATACATATATATACATATATATACATATATACATATATATACATATATATACATATATATACATATATATATATATATATATATATATATATATGATAGTTTTGTCGACGTTTATACATATTCGACCATGCTGCGTAACCTTGATCAGTGTTCATAATGCACCGCTATTGAATACATGCAATATAGGAGGGCAATATGTGCTCCTTTAATTCCTCGTTTATTAATATATTAGTATATTTTTATTCTTTTACACAAATTTACACATAAGAATCTATTACTTATTATAAATTATTTAATTTTCACATTTTATTTATATATGAATATTATTTTATCAACAGTGATCATCAATACGTACTGTGCCAGTTAATAGTACCAATAACTTCGATGTGCCAGTTTCAAAAGATATCTCTGTTTTTGGTTACAATGATAGACATTTTTTTCCTTTATCAAAAGAACAAAATAATCTCATTTCTTAGTGATGGATTTTTGTCAGTCAGCTTGATTCCATCGAAAAAAACAAACTCGTTAAAAAGTCGATAAGCAACTGATCTGTCTTCATGTACTTTGTACATTGTAGGTCAATTATTATTTTCATTCGTCGTATACAATCATAATAAATAGCGCAGACCAGTAATGTAATGTGTTATATAATAATAATGCTGATTGTTTCAAATATTAATGTTAGCTTTATTTGAATGTTTAATACTGTTTATAATAAATAGTACAAAAGATTTTTTTTTAATTTTAATAATTATAAAGGGGTAGATATTAAACAGAAAGTAAACATTTATCAGGCTGTCCAGTGTTAGTCTTAATATTATTGTTGTTGAGGAGCACGTGCTTAAAATAATTACATTAAACTAGGCTCAGTTCAAATAATCTTGTAAACTTATCTAATAGAGTTCTATTAACTATGCTAAACTAAATTAAAATATACTTTTAACTAAATAGTATAACTCTAAATTTTTATTTTTTAATTTTATTAACTAATATAATTTGTAATTAACTTTGTCTTTGACTTTTAATTAACTTATATAATTTTAGAAGCATATACTATTATTGGTGATTATATTGATGATTCGAATAATTTTTCACATGTTGAATTATATATTTATTTAACATTTTTATTATTTAGTTTTATATTTATAGCTCTCATCTTAAACATCAAATATACTAGCAAAGTATACTGATGATTAAAAATTTCTTTCTATAAGAGAAATTCCGCTTGGTGAAAGTTGTTAAATTGTTAACTCTGTAAGAAATTATTATTTGTTGGATGCAAATTACTTCTTTTGCTAAAATTAACTTTTTCTATAATAAAAATTATAGTTCCATGAGCTGTTTTGATGATATAGTCTCCTAAATTTTAGGTGATATTCTCCAAAATCTACCTGTCTTTTAGATGGCAGCCCAATTATTCTCCTACATATTTTATTTGTTCAATATTAGAAGGCATATTGTCTTTTTTCTAATAGTGATGATGATATATTTGAACATACTATATTTTTTTAAGTAAAATAGATCTATAAGCTACTTTTACTACAGCTGTTTTGATGATATAATCTCCTAAATTTTGAGTGATATTCTCCAAAATCTACCTGTCTTTCAGAAGGCAACCCAATTATTATCCCACATATTTTATTTATTTTATATTAGAAGGCAATTTTGTCTTTCTTCTAATAGTGAAGATGATATATTTTAACATACTACATATTTTCCAGTAAAATAGATCTATAAGCTGTTTTGATGATATAATCTCCTAAATTTTAGTTGATGTTCTCCAAAATCTAACTGTCTTTTAGATGGCAATCCAATTTATCTATTTTATATTAGAAGACAATTTTGTCCTTTTTCTAATAGTAATGATGATATATTTTAACAAACTACATATTTTCCAGTAAAATAGATCTATAAGCTGTTTTGATGATATAATCTCCTAAATTTTAGGTGACATTCTCCAAAATCTACCTGCCTTTTAGATGGCAACTCAATTGTTCTCCTACATATTTTATTTATTTAGTATTAGAAGGCAATTTTGTCTTTTTTCTAATAGTGATGATGATATATTTTAACATACTATATATTTTTAAGTAAAATAGTACTATAAGCTGTTTTGATTATATAATCTCCTAAATTTTAGGTGATATTCTCCAAAATCTACCTGTCTTTTAGATAGCAACTCACTTATTATCCTACATATTTTATTTATTTTATATTAGAAGGCAATTTTGTCTATTTTCTAATAGTGATAATGATATATTTTAACATATTATATATTTTAAAGTAAATTTGGATCCTGGCATCAGGTTGTCCAAAACGTGGACTTGATCAAAATTCTGTGCCATTTTAACTATTACCCAACCTAGTGATATTATTTATATGATACTTCAAAATTATATTTCATTTTCTCAATATTTTTCTCTATTGTTAGATAAACCACACGCAACACAACCTCTTGAATATGTAAAATTCGACTCCATCGACTTTTGTTAGAAGACTATTACCGAAGAATTTCGTTCGATGAAAACTAAAGCCAAGGATCATTTAGAATTATATTATATTAGAAATCAATCAAAATGTTGTTAGACGTGACTGATAAACAGAAAAAGCATGTTCTATATTTTCTGGCAGCAGCTGCTGTTGTCATCTTGTATGTCACAGGACCAAAAATCTCCTTGCAATCCTTGTCTTTGGGAGTTTTAGTTTTCATTGTAACCGGAGGCAGGTACAAATGGCTGTATATTTTGTACAGGACGATACCCAGGGATCTGATGTAAGTGATAAATGATAAATTATATTTTAATTTCAATTCATTGTTTTGCTGCAAATTGTTCTCATTACCCAATGCTGCTAAATCTTTTGGAAAGTAGTTGGACATTCAGATTGCTTGAAATGTAGAAGTGATATTTATCTTTTTTTACTGAATTTTTTATATTGTTTAATATTGTAGGGCTGGACACAGATTCCTGATGCTCAATTTGCTGTTGAAGAAATGGGAATATAGAAATATGACTATAGTTAAAATTTTTAGCGAAGTCGTTGATCAACAACCTGATAAAATTGCTTTTCAATTTGAGAATGAAAAGTGGACTTTCAAACAGGTAAAGAAAATTTGATGATTTTGAAAAACTTTAAATAAAAAAATATGAACATCTATGTATATATTTATTAAAAGTTTATTAATATTATATTGATTTTTAGGTTGAGGAGTATAGTAATCAAATAGCAGCATATTTTAAACGTGAAGGCTTCAAACGAGGAGATGCAATTGCTTTATATATGGAAACCAGACCAGAATTTGTTTGTTTATGGTTAGGTCTGGCTAAAGTTGGCTTGGTTACTGCTCTGATAAATAATAATTTGAGAAAGGAAGTATTGGTTCATTCTATTAACGCTGCTAACTGCAAAGGAATCATTGTTGGAACAGAACTTGTTGAAGGTAATTATAATAATCACAATCATTATCTGAATTATTTGTGAAGACCAGAAAGTTAATTGATATATATTAGCGTTATTATTATATTCCTTTTAGCTTTGAAAGATGTTACTGGTGCTCCAGAAGTTGCCAACTTGCCTGTATACCAATTCAGAGATGCTGCACAAGAGTCCATTAGTGTGCAACCAGGTTGGAAAGACCTCAGGGGCAACTTAGTAGGCATGCTGAAAGGCAGAATGGTAGAAGAAATTGCAAAAGGCAATATATCTGATAAAATTATGTATATTTATACTTCTGGAACTACTGGAATGCCTAAAGCAGCGGTCATTAGCAATACAAGGTAGAAGATATGATAAATATATGATGAACTGATTTTTAGCTGTATAATCATTGTGATATTTTTTACAGGTTCATGTTTATGGTGATCGGTGTTAATAAGATGTTAAATATCAGCAGCAATGATATTATTTATGATCCACTACCATTGTATCATACTGCTGGCGGTATGGTCGGAGTTGGACAAATGCTACTGAGAGGTGCTACGGTCACACTTAAAAAAAAGTTTTCAGCTTCAAATTTTTGGCCAGATTGCATCAAATATAACTGCACCGTGAGTTTATATATTTTTGTACTGAATTGCACTATTTTTGTTCATCTAACTAATAAAATTAGTTGATTTATATAGGTCGCACAGTATATTGGAGAAATGTGCAGGTATTTATTAGCAGTTCCAAAGAAACCAGAAGATACATCTCATCAAGTACGTCTGATTGTTGGCAATGGGCTGAGACCTCAAATTTGGGAGGACTTTCAGAGAAGATTCAATGTTAAACAAATTGGTGAATTTTATGGAGCCACTGAGGGCAACTCGAACTTAGGTAAAAAAAATCAGTATTATTTTCATGAAGAAGTTAGTTTTCACGTAAAATTTTGGTTTTGTCTATGCTATATACTTAGAGATAAAATTATTTATGTTTCATTATAGTGAATATTGATTCTACGCCTGGTGCAGTAGGATTTGTGCCGAGGTATGCTGGTGCTTTCTATCCTGTAGCCTTAATCAAGTAAGACATTATTATTTATTCTCACTTCTTCATTACAAATTATATATTAATTAAATCACATTATATCTTATGAATTATTTTATCTTGAATCTAGTTAATAATAATTTTTTTACCAGGTGTGATGAAGAAACTGGTGAACCTATTCGCAATGCTGAAGGCTATTGCACAAGATGTCAACCTGGTGAAACAGGTGTTCTGGTTGGAAAGATTAATCCAAAATTAGCTGCCAATTCTTTTAGTGGTTACGCAGACGCTAAAGCGAGTGAAAAGAAAATTTTGAGAGACGTTTTTCGCTCTGGGGACATGTTCTTTAACTCTGGTGATATTTTAGTTATCGATATGCTTGGTTACTTCTACTTCAAAGACAGAACTGGTGATACATATAGGTAAGATTATAGTATTAAATCACTTAACAACCGAATCATAAATAAGAATTGTGTTTATTTTTAATAATCTTATGTTTGTAACTAGCATATAACAATATTTTTTTTAATTATTGAGCAATTATTCATATCTGATAGTGTATTTTTGTATTGTTTAAATATTTGCTAAATTAATAATAAATTTCTTTTAAAGAAACAAAAAAGATTGATTTCAATATACTTTACTTAGGTGGAGAGGAGAAAATGTTGCAACTTCAGAAGTGGAAGCAGTGATTAGTAAAATTGTTGGACTTAAAGATTGCGTTGTTTATGGAGTTGAGGTAAAATATTTTATTTAGTCTTTTATAATTAGATACAACATATTAAAAAAATTATAATATTAAGGCACTTATCTACCACTTCTAAATTACCATTTGAATAACAAGTGTTACCTCAAAGATTATAAGATAACTATCTACTATTATAAGACTACTATCATATTTATCTTCTTAAGATACCAAACTTGGAAGGTCGTGCAGGCATGGCTGCTATAGTCGACCCTGATCAAAAATTAGACATGGAGGGACTATGTAAAGGTCTTTTGGCGTCTCTACCTGCCTATGCCAGACCTTTATTCATACGAGTTATGTCTGAGATGCCAATGACAGGCACATTTAAACTTAAAAAAAGGGACCTCCAAATTGAAAATTATAATGTAGATCGAATACGAGATATAGTTTATTATGTAGATTCATCTGGTAGATATCAAACAGTCACAAAGGCCTTATATGATGATATAATTAATGGAAAAATAAGGTTATGAATTAAATCGGTTGTTATAATGATGTATATAAAAGCAATAAGTAATATAAGTTAATGACAATATATGTAAAATTAGGGATCACATTTTTATTTTATATCACAAATAGAATTTTTATATATATCTCATATTCAGTGTTTATTTATTGACTGTGCATGTTCTTGTTCAGAGTTTAGCTTACTTTTTACATTTGCAAGATCTAGTTTGGTAATTTTTGAAAAATTTATAATAAATAATTAAAAAGTTCTATCAGTAATTTATTTTATCTAACATGATACATATTTCTCTGTTTAAACAAGTAATTTTATTTCTTTGCATTTATGTGAACGGCTATTGTGAATATGATGATTTGCTCAAAAATATTTGGTATTTAGAAGTACACTAAACATTATTTCTAATGTTTTAATGTTATTAATATGAATATTATGAAGTTTATATATTTCTGTTAGATTAATTACTATAAATTTATTATAAACATTTTTTAAATGATTATTTTTTTATGTTGATGAAACTATTCACACATTCCAAAAGGCAAAGTCCAAAATGTTATTATTTTCAGGCATTTTGTAATACTTTTTACTTTACAAAGATTAGTTTCATTGATAGCAATGTAATATAAATAAAAAATATAAATCAATTTGTGTGATTTACCTATTACTATGTACTTTAATCAATTTCCCGGTTTTATTTTTATATTACCGTGCTAAGGACATTTGAAAAATACTGGTTTTGACACTGTGCACAAACATGTAGAGAAAACAAATGAAAAGGTCAGTTTTATTTCCATTTTTTTTCTTTAAATTACAAAATTCAATATTAACTAAAATTCTCACAAAATGTTAACTGAATCATGGATGCCCGCTTTCAAAATCTTATATTTTGCCATAATTTTCACTTTACCTTTACTCCTACATGGACTGCTGAAGGTTTGACATTGTATTTTAAATAAAATCTATTATTACTGTAGTCTTAAAATTGATGAACTTGTCGAAATGGTTGTAGAAATACCAAATTCATTAAACATATCTATACATCTAATATTTTACAGCTGAATAAATACACCATTTTTGCTTGGATAGTTATTATGATTGTGATAATACAATTTCCTATGTTATTGATGATACAGTATACAATTGAAATGATTAATAATAAATCAAACAAAGAAAAAATTTATAACCAGGACTTCCTTCCAATCGCTGTTGTTTGTAAGTTATTGATATTAAGTAATTGACTAGAATTTAATTATTAACATTATATATACACACACATATATATATATATGTGTGTGTGTGTGTAATAAACAATTCATTTTATGGATTTATGATTATTATAAAAATTTTATATCAGATAACTTTTCATACAAGCTTATTTAGCTTTATTTAGCTTCTTATATTTAATTTGTAAAAGTATATATATATATATATATATATATTAATGATTAATTCACTAAATTTTTCTTTTATAGTATTATGGGCTCTTTTGCTGTTGCAAGTATACAAATTTTGGAAAACAATAATTGTTCGGGAAGGCAATAACAGACTTAATCCTGCACTTCAGGGACATTGAGACAAGTTTATATATATTATATATATAATATAAAGAGAAGAATGCATTCAGAACAAGTTTGATGTTATAGACGCAAGGCATGATTTTTTATATAAGCAAGTATTTCTAAAGAAAATGAAAGACCAGATTGTAACCATAAATTTTTCTCTTTTATGAATTAAGTATAATTACAATAAATAAATCACAAAACTAAGAAGAAAAAAATGTATTGCATACATGTAACTCTATAAACAAAATGTAAAATATATCTTAAAACAATTCATTTTATGAATTTATGATTATTATAAAAATATTATATCAGATAACTTTTTATATAAGAATTTATTTAGCTTTTTATATTTAGTTTGTAAAAGAATTGACCAAGTTGGTAAAATATTATTTTTGATAACACTTTATATTTAAAATAGGTGTACAGCTTCTTTTAAAAGCAATTGTATATATTGTAAATATTACAATTGTATATGTTAAGGCTTACGTGAATGTAGTAATAACATTTTTATATATAACTTATTTTATAATGAAAAATCTATTATTATTTTAATTAATTTTATACTATTTAAACTCACAATGAATATGTTTTACAATTTGAGAACTATAGATTATAGAGTATTGTATATTATTAAATATACATTAATGTTATGAATCATATTAATTATAATGACTGCTTGATAAACATTCCTTCTAATCTAAACAATAGTGTTTATATATAAACTTGTAATTTTTATTTATGATATACATTAATAATTTAAGTATATTTAAATTCAGAGATGTGTTGTTGCTGCCTTAGTTCAAGTGGAAATTGAATATATAAATATAAATTTTGCTTTATACGTCATTAGATGTATTCTAGTCTTAATGGAAATTGGATATATAAATGTATATATTGATTTAGTTTGTATGGAAATAGGATATATTAATTTATATATATTGATTTAAAAATCTATAAACTTTCAAAGCTTCTTTAAGAAGAACTACTATTACCATGAATAGAAACTCATGGATTTATTTTCAAAGTGTTTTATCGAATCGTTCATTTGAATTTCATTACTCATAAAATTAGATGTATATTAATTATGTATCATATATTGAATTATTATATTATTGATTTATACAGGACTAAAAGATGTATTAAGTAGATATATAGAAATTAGATATATAAATATTTTTATTTATACTTTATCAGATTTGTTCTAGTTATCTTAGTTTGAATGGATATTGAATATATAAATGCTAATGTTAAGTATATATAATTTATACAATAATTAAATGTATTTAGTGATTGATAGCAATAATAATATGTATTTAATAATCTTACAATTGCTCAGTTAGTGCAATCTAAAATATATTTGTAATAATTGCAATTATATAAATAAAAATATGAATAATTGAATTTGATTCTTTTATTATGAGACTCATGAGCATTTTAGTGAATTTTTCAGGTTGCTTTTAGCAAAAAAATATTAACTACTATATAAACTATTCTTTTTAATTATCTATAAACATTTAATTATAATGACACCCATTTTATTAATTAAGTACATGATTTATTTTTCGTATTGCTTATTATTTTTTATATTTAAAAACGTCAAAATAATTATCCTAAACAAATTAATTTTAATTCATTAACATTTAACATTAACATTTACTTAATTACAATCATACATGAAGATCCATTTACATAAAGATGGATACCATTTTATTTCATAGCATTCAAAAATCGCGCCGTTCGAAAAGCAATCGAAAACCTTCATAGTAAACTGCGTCTGTAATCGTTTCGAAGTATCAGGCGAACAGACACGCTCAGAATTTATATATGATAGTATAGTACTATTCGCGCGGTCTATAGAACTCGCGTACCCTTCATACATTTCATACATTTTCATACGAATTTTTCGGCCGATCTATTAGGGTAGCAGACACATTTTTCAATCAAATTTCGCTCGTATTTCACAGGGCCGTCTGCTGAAATGTTAGGGGTAATTATTTTTAAAATTAAAAATGCAATTTATTGTTTTGGGACATTTTGATAGGTTTTAGTGTTGGGAATGGTTTTTTAACATTAATATTATTGTGTAAACATAGGAAAAAGTAGCAAATGTGCATAATGTAGCTGATAATTGCAAAATTTAGTTATTCGTGTGTACGGACTACATTTTTTGACCTTTTGTCAACGTTTTCAGAAGAACGGCTGTACCGATTTTGAAAATTTAAAAAGCATCGCATGTGGCTTTATGAGCACTCTACCCGATTAGTCTTTTGCGATGATCGGTCAAGCCGTTTCTTTAAAATTAGCGTAAACGTGCAAAAACTTTTATCCACGATTTTTATAAAATCCTTTTATCGAATTAAAAAATTGATAAACCTTTCGAAAGATATTTTTGGGAAAGTATAGTTATCAGTTTTTGGTAAAGATCGGCCGAGCCGTTTCTTTGTAATTACTTAAATAATATAAAACAAAATTTATTTTGTTATTAACTTTTATAAATTAGACACATAGTATATTTTTAATGTAAAATTACATATATTAGTAATATTATAATTAGTGCAATTTTTATAATAATGTGTTTTTCCGACTTTTTAAAAGAATTTACATATTTGTTTTATTCAACATATAAAGATGTTCAAAATTCGGTCCTGATTTCTTGTTAAATGTAGTCCTGCTTTCTGATTGGTTGCCTCGTTTTGACAGCTCCAAATATATAAATGGCGGACAATTCTCATTACTTCTTACGAAAATGCTCCTGTAATCGCTTCGAAGTATCAGGCGAACAGAAACGTCAGAATCTATATATGAAAGTGTAATGTTACTCGTGCACAATGTATGGTGTGACTATAACGAATTCAAATAACCTCAATGTAAGTACAAATTGATTATCATTACGATTATTATATTTCAAATGGAATGTCATGTGGCTATTATATATTATATTTTTTATATCAATTCCTATTTTTATGATTATTATTAAAACTTATTTCTATGTTAATTATTAAAATTAAACTTTTAATTAAATTGTTACATCGATGTAGTTATATAATAAAAATTATCACTATCTAGTATTTCTTGTAATAAATCTATATTCTTTTCACAGGTGCTTTTAACTTGTAAGGAAACAAAAAGGAAAAATTAAATGAAATATATTATTGATGAAATATGTAAATTAAACAGAAAAACAGAGATGATGAATAGAAGATCGAGTAAGTTTTGCAACATTTTATATACTATTATATATAATAGTTTTAGAAAATTTAATTTTCTTCATATGACAACTTAAATATCAAACTACAATTCCAAAATTTGCCAATTCATGTGATAATAGTATAGAATAAAATGATAAATCAAAGTAGTAATGCCAGTATATTAAACTTCAGTTGTAGTTATAAAACGCCAAAAATTTTTATAATGAATTGAGTCAAAAAAATGATGAGAAAAATACTACATAAACCTATTAGAATTTCATGTGAATGTAATTGAATCTTATGAAATGAATGAATTCGCTGTAAAAGATAAATTCTTTATTGAATCAGATTTATACTTACAATTCTTATTATAATGAAAAATGAATTTTTTCATTTCAATCAAAAGTACTTTGAAGCAAAAGCATTACTGAGTTTTAATTAATTGTCAATGAATTGATAATTATTGATGTGCTTCGAATAATATACATACTAGTTTCTACTATTACAATGCTTTTAGAATGAATTGAGTTTAAAAATAATAAGAACTTCATATAGTGCATATAATATGTATGTTTCACAAACAAGTATTTAATTATTAACAATAATTTCACTGAATTTCTATTTTATAGTGTTATGGATTCTTTCACTGTTGCAAGTATACATACTTTGGAGAATTATAATTGTTCGGGATGGTAACAGGATTGTCCCTGTACTTCAGAGATAAAGAGACAAGTTCTGATACATATATTAATAGAAGTATGCATTTATGCTGATTTCCAAATGATGATGTCTTTAAAAATATAAATATAGGTAACTATAATTTTGTGCATGTACTACAAAATGAGAATGAAGAATTATATTATAAGAGAAGAAAACTTCAAGCTTCTAAATACATTTATACAATCTTGTGGAGACGTTAACATTTTACATCACATGCAGATGAAAGACCAGATAGTAACCATGTATTTTTCCTTATGATACCTACAAATACAATAGATAAATCACACAACTAAGAAAGGAGAATAGATGTAACTTCATAAACAAAAAGCAAATGTAAAACATTTAATATTTTACTCAATTAACATTACAAAAATAAATTTATTCTTTAAATATTTAATATTTAAAATAGTATAATTACAAGCATTTAAGTAATTTAATACTGAATGATTTGAATTAATATAATTTTTTATAATAAAGTAATTCATAGGAACTTAGTAATACATAGGATGATACTTTTTCATATGATATAATTTATTATTTAATTAATTTTGCTAGTAATATAACATATCATTATTCATTATTACAACCCAAATATTTCTATTATAGGTAATTCCAAGAAAATGTGTAAATAGAATAGAATGACATGATAAATGCCATTGATAAATCAAACTAGTAATGCCAGTATATTAAACATCAGTTGTGATCACATGAAATCACAAATGAATTGATTTCAAAGGTAAGAAGATATTTATATATTTTATTTAACAAACAGAAGTTTGTACAAAAGTAAATTTTGCTTGCGATAATCTAAGAAAATATCAAGCATACATATTGGTATTTCGAGTGAATTGTTCACTATAACTAATTCTAAATAAATTCTCTAGGGAATCAGATTTGTACTTACAATCCTTTTTATAATAAAAATTAATTCTTTGCTCCATCAAATACTTTGAGCTACTGAGTTGTAATTAATTGATAATTTATTGAAAATTGATATTGATATGCTTTAAATATTAGTTTGACTTTTAGATTAGAATATTTTATAAATAATAAGATAGTGCATATAATATATATGTTTCACAAAGAAGTATATAGTATATATTTATATTTTATAGTATTATGGACTCCAGTTGCATATATATAAACTCTAGAGAAAAATAATTGTTCAGGAAGGTAACAGAGGCTTATTTCTGTACTTCGATGAGACAAGTGAGACAAGTTCTGATACATATATTAATGGAAGAATGTTTTTAAACCGAGTGTGACACTTTAATTTAAGGTTACCATTACCTAGAATAGACCAAGTCTGATTTTCGAATGATACTCTTTTCAAATATAAATGTAGGTAACTATATAATTATTTATATGAATTATAATACGAGAATGAAGAATAATAATTATATTATAAATAAAGTAGCCTTCAAGCTTTTAAATACATTCATGACAAACTTGTGGAAGCAGGATTTCTTTTTTATATAAACATATATATATATATATATATATATATATATATATATATATATAATATGAAAGACCAGATTGTAACTATATCTTCTTGCATTATTAAGAAAATTTTATTCTTTATTTATTTTCTTATATTTAATATTTAAAATAATATAGTTAAATGCATTTCAGGCAGAAAGATTGAGCCAACTTTTATAATTATATTGTAATTTGTAGGAATGTTTTGGAAATCATAATGTTTATTTATACCTTTTTATTGCCAAAGAAAAAGCAGGTGACAATTGAAATATGTTAACAAATAAATATTTCAAGTAAATGAATGCAAATTAATGAATTTATATGAAATGATGTGATGAATGCACATTAATGAATAAATGCTCAAAATAGAACCCAGATTTAATGAATATTATGGCAATAAATTACTCAATGTTGAGCTTACATAGATGTGATCTCTTCGTATTGTGTCAGGTAAATTTCAAACATTTATTTTAAATATTTAATAGCCATCAATATTGTATATGTTTTATTCAATGATATAGTTCATAATGTTGATGATGATGCTACATTTTATTATTTATTATTTATTACTAAATATTTACATTTTATTATTCATTACTAAAGCTAAATTTGTTCCATTACAGGAGATTCTGAGACTATGGAGCGATGTAGCTATCCAGATTTTCTGCGAACACTAGAAATCCTGGTTCCTGAGTTCTGAATCTTACAATGGACAGCATAATTTTGGAATACTACTAACTGTATATCTTGCAGTTTCTTACAGACCCCATGCACACTTTGTTTGTTTACACAAACACCTCTTAATAAACTCAATTTAAAACAATTTGGTGAAATCTATCAGATGCTATGAAGACCGAATAAGGAAGATAAAATATCTGAGCATGAATATTATAATAATGTGGAGAGCGAGTTGTTCTTGTACCTTTGAGAAGCAGTGACTACTTTTAGTTATATATGATGTTCTTTATATTAACTTTATATCAATTGAAGTTCAGAATTTCTTGTAAATGAAATTTATGGAGTTTTCAATGAACTGTTTGAAAATAGATTAGATAGATAGTTCAAGGTATATATATATATATATATATGCCAAGTTGAATCCATGGACTTCTACCCGCAGATGGACTAGCTGCCTTAGTTTGTAATGGAAATAGATGTATAAATGTATATAATGAATTGTACATTATTAGACTTAAAAACTTTGTGCATTAATAATGGAATTAGATATATAAATGCACATAATTATTATGTATCATATATTGAATTATTATATTATTATCATTAAATAATATATATTTAAGACATTGTGATCTTGCTAGTTACATATATATTTATATATGAGTATATTTGTGTTATTATATAAATAAATATTTAAGTAATTTAAATTTAATTTGGTTTTTTTTTTAAACATTTATGTGTAATTTATTGAATTTTTCAGGTTGCTTTTGGCAAACAATAATTAATAACCATAAATAATTTGACAAACAATAATTAATAGCTCTATAATTAATTATATTTACTTAATTACAATCATACATAAAAATCCATTTACATAAAGATGGATATACCATTTTATTTTATATCATACTCTTATTCAAAAATGGCGCCATTCGAAAAGCAATCGAAAATGATAGAAAGAGCCGACATCGAAAGATCGAAAACCTTCTTACTTTTCATACGAATTTTTCTGCCGATCTATTAGGGTAGCAGACACATTTTTCAATCAAATTTCGCTCGTATTTCACAGGGCCGTCTGCTAAAATGTTAGGGGTAATTATTTTTAAAATTAAAAATGCAATTTATTGTTTTGGGATATTTTCATAGGTTTTGGTGTTGGGAATAGTTTTTTAACATTAATATTATTGTATAAACATTGGAAAAAGTAGTAAATGTGCATAATGCAGCTGATAATTGCAAAATTTAGTTATTTGTGTGTACGTATTACAATTTTTGAACTTTGGTCAACGTTTTCAGAAGAACGGCTGTACCGATTTTGAAAATTTAAAAAGCATCGAATGTGGCTTCATGAGCACTCTACCCTATTAGTTTTTTGCGATGATCGGTCAAGCCGTTTCTTTAAAATTAGTGTAATTGTGCAAAAATTTTCGCCCACGTTTTTTCTAAAATCGTTAAATCGAATTTAAAAATTTATAGACTATTCGAAAGATATTTTTGGGGAATCATATTTTTTAATTTTTGGTAAAGATCGGCCGAGCCGTTTCTTTGTAATTAGTTAAATAATATGAAACAAAATTTATTTTGTTATTAACTTTTATAAATTAGGCACGTAGTATATTTTAGAAGTAAAATTACATATATTAGTAGCATTATAATTAGTGCAATTTTTATAATAATGTGTTTTTCCGTCATTTTAAAAGAATTTACATATTTGTTTTATTCAACATATAGAAATGTTCAAAATGTGGTCCTGGTTTCTTGTTAAATGTAGTCCTGCTTTCTGATTGGTTGCCTCGTTTTGACAGCTCCAAATATATAAATGGCGGACAATTCTCGTTACTTCTTACGAAACTGCTCTTGTAATCGCTTCGAAGTATCAGGCGAACAGAAACGTCAGAAACTATATATGAAAGTGTAATGTTACTCGTGCACAATGTATGGTGTGACTATAACGAATTCAAATAACCTCAATGTAAGTACAAATTGATTACCATTATGATTATTATATTTCAAATGGAATGTCATGTGGCTATTATATATTATATTTTTTATATCAATTCCTATTTTTATGATTATTATTAAAACTTATTTCTATGTTAATTATTAAAATTAAACTTTTGTAAAAATGATCACTATCTAGTGTTTCTTGTGATAAATCTATATTCTTTTCACAGATGCTTATAACTTGTAAGGAAACAAGAAAGATAAAATTAAATGAAATATATTATTGGCGAATTATGTAAAGGCATACCATTTGTTGCGTTTAACTGTCTTCCCAGAAATATACATTAAACAGAAAAACAGAGATGATGAATAGAAGATTGAGTAAGTTTTGCAACATTTTATATTGTATTACATATAATAGTTTTAGAAAATTTAATTTTATTCATATGAAAACTTAAATATCGAACTACAATTCCAATGAATTTGCCAATTCATGTGATAATAGTATAGAATAAAACTTATAAATCAATGCCAGTAATGCCAGTATATTAAACTTCAGTTGTACTTACATACAACGCCAGATATTTTTTAATGAATTGAGTCAAAAAAATGATGAGAATTGCTTATAGTTTATTCAAGAAACACAATTTTGTTCTAAAGTACATTTTGCTCACAATAATCTAAGAAAATACCACATAAACCTATTAGAATTTCACGTGAATGTAATTGTATCAAATGAAATGAATTAATTCACTGTAAGTCATTCTATAGATAAATTCTTTATTAAATCAGATTTATACTTACAATTCTTATTATAATGAAAAATGAATTTTTTCATTTCAATCAAAAGTACTTTGAAGCAAAAGCATTACTGAGTTTTAATTAATTGTCAATGAATTGATAATTATTGATGTGCTTCGAATAATATACATACTAGTTTCTACTATTACAATGCTTTTAGAATGAATTGAGTTTAAAAATAATAAGAACTTCATATAGTGCATATAATATGTATGTTTCACAAACAAGTATTTAATTATTAACAATAATTTCACTGAATTTCTATTTTATAGTGTTATGGATTCTTTCACTGTTGCAAGTATACATACTTTGGAGAATAATAATTGTTCGGGATGGTAACAGGATTGTCCCTGTACTTCAGAGATAAAGAGACAAGTTCTGATACATATATTAATAGAAGTATGCATTTATGCTGATTTCGGTAACTATAATTTTGTGTATGTACTACAAAATGAGAATGAAGAATTACATTATAAGAGAAGAAAACTTCAAGCTTCTAAATACATTTATACAATCTTGTGGAGACGTTAACATTTTTCATCACATGCAGATGAAAGACCAGATAGTAACCATGTATTTTTCCTTATGATACCTACAAATACAATAGATAAATCACACAACTAAGAAAGGAACTTGATCATTTTTAAATATATTTTAGCCAATTGTTTAATTGTTAATTGCTGCCTTACATGTACAAAAATAATTCATACTTATTTTGATAAATTTACTTTAAGGCAAATTAAAGTTGTGTATGCCAGCAATAATATTGCTAATTATTACTAGCTTAGTTTATTAATTTATTATTACAACTCAATTATTTCCATTATAGGTGATTCCAAGAATCCAGAGTGACGACATACCCAGATTTTTCCTGTCTGCAAGACTACCCCGTTATGTCCAGTATGTTCTGAGTTCAGTACCTTACAGTGAATCACCTCCAGCGCAGATTTTAGGAATACCTCTAACTGGGTCTTTTACAGTTTAACACGGACTCCTTGCACACCTTGATTGCTTACACAAACACCTCCTGATGAAATTGATTTGAAACAATCAGTGGACATCTTGAATGAGTAATATCTGAGCATGAATATTATAATAATGTAGCAAGTTGCTTTTGTACCTTTGAGAAGAAGTGAGTGGACAGTCTAAAGGTATAAAGACTAGAGATTTAATTATATGTGATGCTCTTTATATTGACTTATGATCAGTTCAAGTCAAGTATTTCTAGTAAATGATCTTCGTAGAATTTTTGACGAAATGTTTAAAACTGTTTACAACAGGCATTTTCATGCAACTAATGGTGTTCAATACAAATACAGGTACATTGTTGAGATTTATATGGTTAATAATAACATAGTAAGTGTTTCATGTTCTGTTAATTAAAATTATACATGCAATTTTAATTGTCACTTATTTATTTCTAAAATTGTAACTTAGAATGTGTGTGTTTTAGTAAGCTTGATTTTTTAACTTTAATTATTGCTATTAGATACTGTTATGGTTATTAGTTTTTATTATGGTACTTAACTTAAAGATCCATATTTATTTTATTAAGAAACATTTTTATCAAGGCTATGAAAAATGTATTAATATTGGCATTGAATCCATGGATACCTATCCACGGATTTATATATTGTTTTTTCCATCATTGTATATGGCATTGTATTATTATATCGTCTAGGGAATATGGACTAGCTGCCTTGGTTTGTAAGGGTATTGGATATATAAATGTATATATTGAATTGTATATTATTAGACTTAACAACTTCGTGCAGTAATAATGAAATTGGATATAAATGTATATATTTATTATGTAGTATATAATGAATTATTATATTATCATTAAATAATATATATTTAAAACATTGTGATTGCACCAATTATATGTGAGTATATTTGTAATATTTTGCAATTATATAAATAAATATTTAAGTAATTTAATTTGATTTTTTTTAAACATGGATGTGTAATTTATAGGATTTTTCAGGTTGCTTTAGGCAAACAGCATTCAATAGCTAGACTTGAGTATTAATTTTAATTCAATTATTAACATTTATTTAATTACAGTCATGAATAGTGATATCCACTTTAATTTATATCATGGTAATTATTTAAAAATCCCGCCGTTCGAAAAGTGTCAATGAAGTGAATTGACAGGCGTTCAGAATTGGGCTCCAATATTCATATAATTTTTGCATTTTCATGCGAAATTTTGCTTCAAATCTACCACTACCAGGCACATTTTTCTTTCAAATCTCGCCTGTATTGCTCAGGACGTCTGCTGAAATGTTAGAGGTAATTATTTTGAATATTTATTTAAATTAAATATGATACTTACTGTTTTGAGATATTTTAATGTATTTTGGTGATGGGAATGTTTTTTTAACTACAATATTATTGTATTAACTTTGATATGAGTAGTAAAAATATATAATATAGGAGATAAATGCAAAAAAATTTAGTTATTCGTGTGTACGTGAGGCAATTTTTGATCTTCCGTGTGGCAAGTAACCGATGATACCTATTAACATTAATTACAGATGCAGATTTTTTATAATTTATGAACAATAATTATTATAATAATTATTTATTAATCAATACTACATTATAATAGATGTATAAATATTATAAAATTACAAAATTTAGAAATTTTTGACACAAAATGCTAAACATTATTAAATATATGATATAAATAATGAAATTAATAAAATTTATTATAATATGTAAAATATGTTTAAATAAAAAGTAACGCGATTTTAAAGCGCCTGCTTATTATAAAAGTAAATAAATCGACAAATGCTTATTGATTACTTCCAAGTTCACACACATTCTCCTTCTAACTCATCAGGAGCTCCTTCGTCTTGTTCGTATTCATCATCGGCTGTTGCTTCTTGATATTGTTGATATTCGGAAACGAGATCATTCATATTACTTTCGGCCTCCGTGAACTCCATTTCATCCATGCCCTCTCCAGTGTACCAATGCAAGAAGGCCTTACGCCTAAACATAGCGCTAAATTGCTCAGAAATACGCTTAAATAGTTCTTGTATCGCTGTCGTATTACCGATAAACGTAGAAGACATTTTGAGTCCTTTGGGAGGTATGTCACAAACTGCAGTCTTGACATTATTCGGAATCCATTCTACAAAGTAGCTGCTATTTTTATTCTGCACTGCCAGCATTTGTTCGTCTACTTCCTTCATTGACATGCGGCCACGAAAAACGGCAGCCACTGTCAAATACCGACCATGACGAGGATCGCAGGCTGCCATCATATTCTTGGCATCGAACATTTGCTGGGTCAACTCAGGAACGGTCAAAGCACGATATTGTTGACTTCCACGAGAAGTTAAAGGAGCAAATCCTGGCATGAAGAAATGAAGACGCGGAAACGGTACCATGTTGACCGCTAATTTACGTAAATCGGCGTTCAGTTGGCCTGGGAATCTGAGACAAGTTGTCACGCCAGACATGGTTAAGGATACTAAATGGTTTAAGTCACCATAGCTAGGATTTGGTACTTTGAGCGTACGGAAGCAAATATCGTACAACGCCTCATTATCGATGCAGTAAGTTTCATCAGTATTTTCTACGAGTTGATGAATGGATAAGGTGGCGTTATAAGGCTCCACTACAGTATCCGAAACTTTCGGGCTGGGAACAACAGAATAAGTATTCATGATGCGATCGGGTATTTTCGAAATCGCAAAGTTCCCATTTCCGGTTCCACCGCCCAAGGAGTGGGTCAGCTGGAACCCTTGAAGACAATCGCAGTTCTCACATTCTTTTCGGACTACATCCAAGACGGCATCCACCAGTTCAGCTCCCTCGGTGTAATGGCCTTTGGCCCAATTGTTGCCAGCGCCGGATTGCCCAAAAACGAAGTTGTCTGGGCGAAAGAGTTTGCCATACAATCCAGAGCGCACAGCTTCCATTGTCCCTGGCTCCAGGTCCAGCAGGATAGCGCGAGGCACATATTTGCCACCGCTGGTACGAGTGGCCACTGAAAACAAAAAAGTGTGTGAATAAAAAACATGTTAATTTAAATTCACTATTTTGAAGGTTTTAGAGGTTGAATACTAACAAGTCAGCAATAACAGTTTTTATTCTCAAAACAATGCATTTGTTATGTTATTCAAACAGTCGGTGTGGACGATATTTTGTTAACACACGATGCATTTAATCAGTAGAATGAGTGATGGAGTGCAAAAATAACCGCAAATTTGATGTAAATGATTTGATGATGAATGAAATGATGAGGAAAGATATTTCGACGCCCATATAATACACGTTTGAAACAATATTTAGCTACGCGTTCTTTGCATACAGTTTTTGTTGATGTAACTGATGTTGATCATTAGAACTATAGTTCTATATATATATATATACATACATATATATATATATATATATATATATATATATTTTCTTGGATGTTTATTTGCAAACCAATTGTCTAAATAAAGAGCAATAAATAATTAAACTATTAGTTACAGTTTTTAAACAAATTAATCCAATTTAAGGCATTTCTTATTGTTGTTTCTTATTTTAAAAATTCCACTCCAATAATCATGTGTTGTATTTAATTATAGACGAATTGTATCTCTCATCCTCGATGCAGTAAGTTCAATGTCTTTCTGCTCCCGCAAAGTGATCCTATAAATAAAATGTATCGCACGCGTCGTTGAATTTCTGGAGGAGGAAGGATGCACATATTGCATAGCAACGAGATGGAGAAAAAAACTAAAAGAAATAAAAATGGAAAAGACATTCAAGATTTGGATGAGGAACACTCGTACAACATATCCGTATTTATAGAAAGATGACAGGCAGACGCTTTACACAGGAATATTTGAAATAGATGGATGTCAGGTATGGTTAGCTAGTTATATTGATGTAATATTTATATTATTTTAGTATTATTAACTTCACGAAGAAAGTTCATGTTCTCTTGAGAACATCCAACTTGATAGTTTGTGTTTTATCGACGTTCCAAGTATTTCTGAATCGTTTGAGAGCTGATTTTTTACCTTTGGTCGACTTTTTCTCGAAAACTGTTGAATCAATTCACATTCATTTTTTCATAACTAGGTGCAAGTGGCATTTTGCCTTAAAGCAAGTAGCATAAACAAGGATGATCAGCTGAAAATTGATCAACGCAATTTTTAATCGAGTTATATCAAATTGCTTATTAAACTATTGAAACCGGTGCAGCCGATTTAGAAAGACTTGGATTGATATTATTTATTTATAATAAATATTTTTTGATTATTTTAAGAGCCACTTTCAAAATATTCGTCCATTTGATTATTTTCATTTATCAATCAAGCACTAATTAATACTCTTTATTATACTTTTGCGGCTTCGAACGATTAAAATGTTTTGGTTCGTAGTATAAACTGTTTATGAAATTTTAATGATCATGTTTCACTCAGAGATAACATGCCTTCATGTTTCAAATACTTTGTTCATAAAATTTATCATATTCGATGGAGTTCTAAAATTACAAAATTAAATATAATACCTATATAATTATATTCGAAAGCAATTTTAAAATAACATTTTAGGAAATTCAAAATTAGATTTAAAAAACACACGCGTGTTTGTTTTCTAGATCTCTTATTCTGTTACATGTCTTTTAACGGCATATCTGTGACTTGTACTTAACACTAGATTTTTTTATGCTTGACAAATTACTAATAACCCTTTGGACAGGTGTTGACAACCTTCTTGGGGACAACACCTAAATATATTTCAAACAAGGTGATTGATATGTTGATCAAGTCAAAATACTTCTTAAACAGTCCAGAAACATTCTATTGTTCATCCAGATAATAGAAGTAAAAAAAATATTTCTAAAGAATATTTTCAATTGATTTGTGTGCATTTGGTGGACGTCTTTTATATATTAATTTTAATTTTTCAAATTGAATAGGTACTCATAATTTCTTCTTAAATTAAATTCTTTTTACTCCAGTGGTAAAAAATCTGCAGAAACGTTAAAATTTTTTTGTGTGTGGTTAAAGGTTTATCTCATCTGCTCTGATGTTAAATATCCAAACTGTTATTTCTTAAAATTAGGTGTCATTAAACCACCAAGTTGGTGAAAAGAAATGAGACCACATTATCACACGAGGAAATCATAACAAAAACTCGAAGTGATTTGTGACAAAGCAATTTCTGTTTTTTCATTTTGTTGCTTTGTATTCAATAGAATTAGATTCGTTTGGTGTTTTTGGGTAATTATATATTACAAAATAAATTTAAATGGTTTTATATATGTTCAAATTGTTTTATCCTATATCATGTAAATG